ACAGGCAACTGCACTACTTATGCTTATATGACGTTTGTCTTTGCATTTATCCTGCGTTAAAGTAGGGGACACTACTGAGTACTAAATGCATTTGGGAATGCAGCTTCGAAGAACGCTAGGCTGACAAAATGGGGAGATGCGGATTTGCACCTTACACACTGAATACAATTCGTCAAAGAAAACTCTTTGGATAAATGCGCAATTGTGGTCCACTATTTTTAATGCAAGTCGGTCAGTACATTGAATTCTTGAGGTGATGTAGAAATGAGTTTTCTCTAGACCTGAGGTTGGGTGGCAAATTCCCTCTCCCATTTAATGATTTGAGCATATATCAGGGAAAGCGAAGCACTGGTCCATCTTTCTCATGTTGGGAAAAGTGAAAACGTGAAAGTTTGAGAAATTTCAACTCTTACGTTGTTATCCCACCCCGCTTGCCGATAAAGTTACTGTAAGAAAAGCCCTGTGTGGAGGTGAGGATTTTTCCGTCAGCATGATATAAATGTCTCGTTATGATGTGCCAGGGTGAACGTTTTCGCATATATTTGACCACTTTTGAAATCCGGTGTACTTCAAAAGTAATCACCATACCTTTTCGGGAGCTAAAATAACTTAATTCGAACCCTTAGAAAGAAAACAAATAAAGAGCCTCAGATTGGGCATAAAAGGAATACACTTCTTTCAGAGCACTGTGAGGAGTTCTATATAGATAGTCTTACCTTGTTTGACGAAGACAAAGGTTGATTGTTCGGCCACAACGCTTTTAGAATCGAAGTCTCCACGCACTGTGCATTTATAGGTGCCCATATCGGACTTCTGGACATTTCGAAGGTTAAAGGATTTGCCCGTGGCAATTATTTGCGTGTCGTTGAGTGTCCACTGATAGTGCAGCGATGTGGTCTCTGGTCCGATCGGATCACACAAAAACACTACATTTTGACCCTCATAAACGATATTATATTTCTCCTGGGCACTGAATAGATTTAACAAGGATAAAACGATGAGCAACGCAGAAAAGCGAGAAAGCACCGTGTTGTCACACCACATCCCTAAGTCTGAGCGGTGGTGCTGAACATCGAGTAAACAGCCTTTACCAGGCGATGGTCCGACCGCTTTCCAGTGGTCAGCCGGATGCGGACGGCGTCTGACTTGACGATAATTGGCCGAATGAAGGCTGCACAGCACGGATGTGTGTGTATACACGCACACGTTTCGGGGCGCGACCTTTTTTAAGGCCCTTGAATCATCGTGCAGTTTTTGTTTTCAAGAAACGAAAATGAACTGGTCAACAACG